GTAACCAGGTTATAAAAGTGCAATTTTGAGACTGGAATTTCGATTTTATGCTATTAACACATGCTATTTGTGTTAATTATACAGAGGGAGCAATTAAACAGTAAACATTGGCTTTTAGAAAATCAAAGTTTGAAAATTACTTGAACTAAATAAATACAATAGTTTTTAGTAATTAAATTATCAGGTCTTACAAAGTTCTGGGCTAGCTCCTATTATCTTGAAATTGCATACAACTCTACCAACTGATATAAGATTTGGATAAATACTGTTTGGGGGGCTTTGGTTCTCCAGATAATACTAAATGGAAACTAACTTAGCGAAGAAAAACCAAAAATACACATATAGACTGGGTGAAACCAGGCTTAATAGTAGTAACTGTGAGAGGGATCTTGGAGTCTTAGTGGACTCCAGCTAAATATGAGCCAGCAGTGTGCAGTGGCAGCCAAAAAAGCCAATGCAATCCTAGACTGCATTATCAGAGGTATACAATAAAGATCAAGTGAGGTACTAATACCACTCTATAAAGCCTTAATAAGACCACATCTAGAATACTCCAGTTTTGGTCACCACAATATTAAAAAAAATGTTGAGACTCTAGAAAGAGTATAGAGAAGAGCAACCAGGATGATTAGGGGACTGGAGACTAAAGCATATGAAGAACGGTCAAAGGAATTGGGCATGGCTAGTCTAGTGAAGAGAAGGACCAGGGGAGACATGATAGCAGTGTTTCAATATTTGAGGGTCTGCCACAGAGAGGAAGGGGTCAAGCTATTTTCCAAAGTACCTGAAGGCCAGACAAGGAATAATGGATGAAAACTGAACAAGGAGAGATCCAACCTGGAAATAAGGAGAAATTTTCTGACAGTGAGAGCAATCAAACAATGGAACAGCTTGCCTTCAGAAGTTGTGGGAGCTTCATAACTGGAAGCTTTCAAGAAGAGACTGGACTGCCATTTGTCAGAAATGGTGTAGGGTCTCCTGCTTCGGCGGGGGGGGGGGGCATTGGACCTATAAGGTCCCTTCCAACTCTATTAATCTGTATATAGAAAACAGTTTGCTGTCCTCTAGAGGTCACACTAACATTTGCAGGCCATTTGTGCTAAAATGGAAGTTTGTAGCAAAAACCATAAATTATATTGGCATCAGGGCAATTAGATTACAGTCTAGATGATTTAATGAACTGATGAGCGGTAATGGTAGAGAATCACAGACATGACTTTGGAAGAGGAGTGTGATAGTTAGCAAAACAAAATTTAAGCCTAGGGAAAAAGAATATTAATGTAGTTTAAAGTTAAACTGCTACACCTTGACTTTCTTTAATACAAGAGAGGGGGAAGGGGAAAACATCATCAGGCTTTCAAGATTTGGATTCTATGGCTTATATCTATCAAGTATTTCTTGTGGAGTCTATTTCTCGACTGGGCCTAGCTCTAAGAGCTGACATCAGTCTTGAAAATCTAACTGTTTCTTGTGTTCCCCAATTTTCCTAGCCTTGAATTATGTTTTAGAATTATCACATTACTTTTTTAAGGTTGTCTATATGATTCTCCACAATAATAAAAGGAGCATGAGCAGAGACACTGTCTTGTGTTTTTTGTTCCAGGAAATCAGTTTTCAACCTTTTTAAACCTATGATGTTGTTCATCTAGCCACTGGCGATAAGGCGGCTTTGTTAATAGATAATATTGTACTATCTTCATCTAGTTCACCAACAGCAGCAGTTTCTAAACTGTTTCTAAGCAGTTTCTAGACAAGGAGATCTTGGCTACAATTATTCATGCACCAGTAACCTTTTTGTCATATTATTATCACATAGAGTTGCTCTTGAATGACTCTATTCAAATTCATTAGCAGGAATTCTGACTTGGGTTTCTTCTAAAGAGTTTACCATACAAATATCTTAAAATATTTCATACAAAAGTGAAGACCTTTTCTATGTGTTATCTGACTCTAGAATATCTAAGGAAATTCCAGTACTATGAGTTTTTCACAATATTGCACAATAATTTTGTTTGCCCAACAATTTTAATTGAGTGTATTATTTTTGTGTATACAAGCGTACTATGGACATGTTGGTTATTACCTTATTATGTGTGGCTAGGCTAGATTTTTTCAGATATATTATACTTTTATTGTTCATCACCATAGAGTTCATTAAGAATAAGAGTAGAGTCAAGGTAAAATAAATAAAGCTATAAATGATTTCAGAGTTGTGTCTCTGCAAAAATACATTAGAAGTAGATTTTCCTACTATAATAACTCCATACATGGAAATTGCACTAAATCCTGCCATTCCATTAAAAATGGTTGCTTAATATTTTAGACATTATTTTATTTCTGTTCCCTGCTATTAGTGCTTTATTTGCTAGTTGTTAGATAGTCCTTTAATACAATGAAAACTACTTATCTGAATTATATATAAAATATTTCTATATACCTTTTTTTTAAAAAAATCAACTAAAATAACTTTTCATTTTCTATTTATATTCTTAATACACTTATACATACACACCTGATGTGTCTGCTCTTAGCATAGCTTCTTGTTGGCTCTTTACATCAGTACCGGATCAGGCGAACTGGTAGCGGCGGTAGCGGAAGCCTCCGCCCACCCACCCAGATGCTTTTGTGCATATGCAGAAGCACAGAAGCGCCATGCGAGCAAGAGCAAGAGATGAGATTTGGAATCCGCCCCTGCTTCACATATCCTTGTCTGCATGCAGATATCGAAACAAAATTCAGTGTTTCGATAATGACCGGAGAGTAAGGTATTTGATAGGAACTACTTTCATAGAAGGGGAAAGGGTGGCAAAAGGAAAATCTAAAACAACATTCAGAACTCTAGGGAGGACTAGGGTTGGATTGGAAGTGATTACTCCTAGAAATGGAGATGATTTTGTACTAGTTGCTGAACACGGATGGCTATGTTCACTAGCATTAAAAAGGCAACTATTGATCCTTAAATGCATTAGGCAATGTTTGCATGGCTGAAAGCCCAATTGTTTATGTATTGTTTGCAGTCCGCAAAGCATTTGTGGGAGTGATCTGGGGGGAAAGTAAACATCCATGCAACCTTAAGTCTGCTTGTTGCAGAAGGCCTTCAGTGGGGTGGAAATGTGGTGGAAAAAATAGGGTTACACTTATCCAAGTATTGCCAGCTAGATTGAGGCCAGCTGCCAATTCTTCTGATGAACTAAAGAAGAAGGAAGCCTTGCCCCTCAGGTAATCCTTGGGTTACAACCGTAAATGTGGTTGTGTTACTGAGCACCTGGAGTGCAGTGATATGATCATGGGGTGTGGGTGGAGGGCATAAGTCAGAACACTGGATTGGGTCATAAATCCATTTTTTCAGATAGGTTGTAACTTTGAACAGTTACTAAACAACCAGTCATAAATTGAGAACTACCTGTACTGTAATATCTATAAGAGTTTCCTTAACCATAGAATTAGAAAGAATAGATAGAAGTGGAATTTAAATAGGGCACTCATATATTAAAACTTAGATGGCAGTCTACGCATTTATACAATACATGCTTGGAATTTAGAACTCAAAACCAAAGGTCAGGGGGAAAATTGTACTGTTAAGCTTGTAGAATCATAGAGTTGGAAGGGATCTGGGAGGCCTTCTAGTCCAACTGTCTGCCCAGTGCAGGAATCCTCATACCATTCTGGACAAATGGTTGTCTAGTCTTTTCTTAAAAGCCTTCATTGAAGGAGTACCCTCAGCTGTTCCTCAGGAAGGAAAGCTGTTCTGTTGATTAATAGCTCTCATAATCAGGAAATTCCTCCTCCTTAGTTCAACTTTGGATATCTCAGTGAAAAGGTTTATACCTGCTGTTTCTTGTCTTACCCGCAGGTACTATGGAAAATACATCTATTCCATATTCCTTGAAACATCCCTTCATTTATTGGAAAATGATTATAATTTCTCACCTATTCCTAAAACACTGCCTTATTAGGAAGGAAGGGAGAATCTATTCAGATGGTGACAAAGTTGTTATAAACTGTAAATCATTCTTGCACAGTTAAACTGAAAATGAAATTACTTCCACCGTGCATTTTAACAATAATTTCAATTAAAAAGAAGTAAAAGTGGAAATTTCTCCTGTCTTGTCATGTGGGTACGCATGTGTATCAAAACTAAAACTCCTTCATTAGTGAATGAATCCCAATCCCAAACCAAATTAGCACCAAGGGTGGTCTAAGCACCCTGTTATTAAGAACAGCTGCCTGCAATTACTGCAGGTTCAAATCTCACCAAGGCTCAAGGTTGACTCAGCCTTCCATCCTTTCTAAGGTAGGTAAATTGAGGACCCAGTTGTGGGGGCAATAAGCTGACTTTGTATAAATATACAAAAAAAAAAAAAAGGATGAAGGCTATTGCTGAGCACATTGTAAGCCACCCTGAGTCTCCGGAGAAGGGCGGCATATAAATCAAAATTTAAAAAAAATTAGATGTATTTTGACAGATTTAGGAAAACTCCAGATCAAAGCAGAACATTTCTGAAGTATTCCAAGTCTAATTTTAGCTCTTCATTAGTGGATTCAGACTTTGGAAGGACACCAAGATACAAATGCTGTCTGCAAAAGTGTATATTCCCCTTTCCCCAGCCATTCCACACCTCTTATTTTTCAGAGTAAGGCAAACATCAGGGTGAGAGCTGTACTTTTATGATATTTAAAATGTATGCATTTAAAAATATTGCAAATGGCTGTAAAGATGAGAGCAAATTTAAAATGAGAAGAATTAAAAACTGAAAGAAATTGAAAGGCTCATGTCCTTTTTTCCTCCCTTATGTTGTAAAATGGAAGTGGGTTTTTATATTATAGAGGACTGCAAAAATATCCATTGTCCTGGTTCTGGATTTTTTTAGGATTGTAGTATGTATATGTTCTGGAAGGGAGTTATGACAACTGTAAAATATGTGATGTGTGATTTGCATACCATTCCTCGGCTAACAGTTTATAACAGCTATGCCTTGTGTTCTGTTTTGTGGTTTCAGGAGCAGAAGGCACAGTGTTCCCCAAATCTATAGAAACTCCTAATGTCAGGGCAGACCCCTTCAAGGAACTAAGGTAAACTCTGACATTTAGTTCTAATGTAAATGCAAAGGTACCTTGCTTGAATTGTGCATTCTGGCTGGTGATATTTCAAATCCTGAAGTAATTAAAGAACATGCAGTTGCATAGATGTCACTGAATAGCAGAAAACAGTTAATACTTCAAGTAAATCTGAAATTTTTAAAAGAGCATTGGTTCATGGAATTAAAATTTGTGACTGGAGGTTTTTTTTGGGGGGGAGCTAAAAAGGTCTCTTTGGTCAGTAATGATTGAGTATGGCCTCCAGGTATCACAGAATGTCAGCAAGGAGAAAAGTGGTACAGTGGTCAAATTACTTTCTATACAGATAAAATAACTTGGAACTTGTATTCATCCGTGACATCTGTCACTAACCTGATTTATGTGTTCCTGGAAAAACAAATCCTGTGTAAAAGAAGAATAGGCAGGACACAATCCACAAGCCATTGCATTTCTTTTTATCCAATTTTGCCTGCTTCCAAACTCTCAATGGAGCAGCTATTATGACGGCATGATTTTTTTTCCCCCTTTTTGGGTTTTCCCACTTTTCAAAGTACATAATGAAGTGGCTCTCTTGATAAGGATCATGATAAGGATTCCTGTTGAAGTGCCTGGCAATCATCTGCTTTGTATAGGAATCAGTGCTTTCAAATACAGAAGCTAAATTTATTCCCAGCAGCTGAAGCAGCTGAGTTCCAACTATAGTAAATGACTGATCCAAATTAATTCATGCCAGTCATTTGTTTCATCTCCCTTTTACAAGCACAGTTTTTTTAAAAAATAGGATGAATGTCTCTGAATGAAATAGATGAATAAAATGTCATAAAAAGCAAGCATTGTTGATATAGGCCCACAATTATATTAAAGTGGTAGCTAGATGGTGGCCTAGTGATGAAGACCTTGCCTCCCACTCGGATGGTGAGAGTTCAATCCTAGGTAGTGGTGGATGTTTTTTTTTTTTTAAATTTGATTTATATGCCGCCCTTCTCCGGAGACCCAGGGCGGCTTACAATGCGCTAAGCAATAGCCTTCATACTTTTGTATATTTATACAAAGTCAGCTTATTGCCCCCACAAACTGGGTCCTCAATTTACCTACCTTAGAAAGGATGGAAGGCTGAGTCAACCTTGAGCCTGGCGAGATTTGAACCTGCAGTAATTGCAGGCAGCTGTCTTAATAACAGGGTGCTTTAGACCACTGTACTACCAAGGCTCTAAGTTTCTCTCTCGTAGGGTGCAAAGAAAAAAATATTTCTTGCAAACTTCTTGTGTGGTATCAGGAAGGGTACCCGGCCACTAAACGCTCTGCTCCATCCAGTTGCCCTAACACAAATCCAAATTAAGGGATTATGGGGTCATAAAAGGGGAGTTTTAACTAGACCGATGATTCTCAACCATAGCAACTTGAAGATATGTGGACTTCAACTCCCAAGTCCACATGTCTTCAAGTTGCCAAGGTTGAGAAAGACTAAGCTAGACTAAACAGTGTCTGTAATGCACAGATATTCATTATTAGATCACTCCTTATATGGAGATGTTTCATTAAACAAAAAAACTCACAATATGATATGGAAACCCTCTCCATCAGTCTTCTCCAACCTGTTGTCTTCAATATACTGTATGTTGCACCAGTTCCCAGAAACCCAGCTGGCATACCTGGAGATGAACCATACAATACATCATAACTTCTTTACAAGGAATTACCTAAAGGCTGGCCGTTCTCCATCGTAGTGGAGGCAGCTTGGGTTGTCCTCGTCTGTCAGCCAATAAGACCGAGTCTGTCAAAGCTGTAAGACATGCCCTCTGCCAACGGTCTCCAGCTTTTGACTCGGTCTTGGTCAAAGACAGACGTGGTTTTGGCTATCTGACCCATTCTTGGATAGCTGTTTCTCCTATTTCTATAGCTTATTTCATTTATTGTGTTCATCTGATTGATTGTCAGCCTGCTCCCAGCTTCGGCTGGTAGAGCTGGCTTTTCCAGCGTGAAGGGCTTTAGCCCGATACCGCTGAGGGCCATGACTCTGTCACCGGCAAGCCAGACGAAGGATTCCTGGCAGGGCATTGTGCACGGACCATCCTTTCGCCGCTGACCCTTCAGATGATATAAACTTGATATAAACTGCTGAGACCAATGGCAATATGTGCTTTTCTTCAAAAAAAAAAATTCATGTGTGCACCATCATGTTTCACTGAACACTAATTCTCTCTTTGCCTTGTACTCTTGTACCTTCACTGGATCAATACTTGAAGCTCTTGTAATTCTTTGATTTGTATTGTTTGAGTCCTGAAATGTACATATATCGATATTTTTGGTTACTTTCATCTTCTCCATCTTTGTTACTTTTATTGATGCCTTGTGTATCATGCAGAAGAATAAGTTCCAGGTGATTACCTCGCCATCACTCTCCACAGAAATTCTATAATCCCTGGATCATTGTTCTTTACAAATGTGGGGTCGCTTTTTTAAAAAAATATTCCAGACACTGTACTGTTCTTTCTTGGGAAGACTGGCCTCTTAGCTATCATCAGAGATGCTGAAGGCAGTGGGAGAATTAAAATGAAAGTGAAGTATTGTTTGTAATAAACCTTTAGAGTGAGTATCATGGTTCTCATTTAACATAAAGGAAAAATAGCAGGTCTTGTGCTGCTTTTCAGCTTGTCTGACAAGAATAACCATTGTCATAGCTTAGTTTATGCATTTCTTACGCCAACAACATTGCTGGGCAGCATATGTTCATTGCTTGACTATTGAGGGGGAGAATAAAAGGATTGTGGCTAATTTGTCCCAGTCAAGAAAGGAATCATAATAAAGAGATCACAAAGATTTCTAGATCAACAGAATGTTTGCCATTATATACTGAAAGGCAGCATATGTGCAACGAAGCACACATTCCAATGAAGTTATTCACTCCAATGAAGCTGATGCCATCATTGCCTACTAATCATAATGGCTATATATTATCTCCAATATCAAAGGCAGTATGCCTCTCAATACCAGCTGCTAGGGAATATGAGGAGAAGAATAATATGGAGATATTTGTGCTTACCATCTGTTAGTGCAAGTATGTACAGATTCAGTTCAACAACCTCTGAGATCTGTGCTGAATTAAAGAAGAAACTTAGAGATGGAAAATTATTCACGGAGCCACTTTTAATACAGTATCTAGTATGGTTACATATTTATTATCCTGTTCCCATTATTAGCCCTTTTTTAAATTTAGTCATATTATTTGGTGTATATGAGCTAATCAGATTATTTTTTAAAAAAAACCAAATCTTTTTAGGTCATTTGTTATTACACCAGGAACTGCTAATTTATATACTATAGGTAGTCCTTGACTTAGAACCACAACTGAGCCCAAAATTTCAATGGCTAAGCAAGACAGTTGTTAAGTGAATTAAATAAATACATTCCAGTTGTCAAACATCTGAATGTTGATCATGTGACTGTGGGGATGCTGCAACAGTTGTAAGTGTGACAAACGGTCATTTTTTTCAGAGCTGTTGTAACTTCAAATGATCACTAAACAAATGGCCAAGAATTACTTGTACTTGGCATACATTCCCAACTGTTGTTGTTTTTTAAAAAACCTTCCTAAGCCCCAAGAACGATGTTTTCAGTGCTTTCTGTTCACTCACATGAGTCAGGACAATAGTTATTATATTTCAGGATGACATGAATAAGTGGGGTCATTTTTCATGCCTATTCAAAATGACCAGAAATTTGTTTCACAACTGCTGTGACTAGCAAAAGGCTGCATGCTATAGGTTGACAATGAATATATCTGAAGTGTATCCTGCTTCTTAGCAGGAGAGAGAAGCATAAGATAAAGGCAAGAAGAACAAAAATCATTTTGACCCTAAGAGAGCTTTAAGTGAATAATTTCAGGTAGAAGGGCAACTGGGAAAGCTGAGATTTATTCACGGATAAACCTATCGCTAGAAAGGAAATGGCTACAGCAGTTTTAAATCCATAGAGCTAAAAGAGGATTATTAAAAAGAAATCTCATCTTTAATGAAGGACTGTCACCTACAAGAAATGTTGCAAACCATCTCTGGCCTTTCTGCTCTTTGTGACATTAGATTGTGGCTTTTGTGAGATACTTTTTTATTAATAGGCTTATCAATAAAAGATATTAAAGGCTCTAATATAACTTTGCTGTCCTGGTGATTAATACCATTAATATTGGGAGATCCCTTTTTTCAGTACCATTGTAACTTTGAACAGTCACTAAATGAACTGTTGTAAGTCAAGGACTACCTATGATGTCAAAACGGAAAGCCCATTCATTGCCATTGTGACACTATTGTACAGTCATCTATGGGTTTTATCCCCAAGATTTTTATTTTATATCCTGCTTAGCTAACCTTATATCTTTTCTTACTGATAGAAGCAGTCCAACTGGTTAACTGGTCTAGATCTGAAAGTGTTAAGTTTTTATGAGTTATAATTTAATCTTTAAGAATTAGAGCTAATCTCATTTGCAGTCATTTCTGCTCACATATGTAAATACTTGGGGGCGGGGGGAAGGGAGAGACATTTCAAACTATTTTAATTGTCCTCTACAAACTTTGTCCAGTAAAAAGGGGCTAGTAAATGCAGGCCATTAAAATAATAAGAGCTAGTTCATATACCATTGCAGGCAGGTTCAGACTAGTGAAAATATTTAATACTTAATTACAAGACTCGTCTTTCCTCAAGTGCACATGACCTTCTGGAGATGAAATTTTACAAGGACATCTGTGGGGAAAATAAGTGGGAAAGGTTCTCAGTTATTCATTGAGAACTCAGCATGCCAACTGCATTGCTGCTGATTAAGAGGAAATTGTGGCATTTGTACATGAGGAACTCTTGTCACTTATAGACTATTCTCTCCTGCAAGCTCCAACACTCTTAAGGATGTGGGTACAAGTTCTGTAGTGAGAATATTGGAATGTAGTGAAACTTATGTGGCATAAAAAATTCACTTCCTTTGGGATGGAGTCTTTTCTCTCTCC